TTTGTGGCTCCATACAAGTTTTAGAAGACTTTTTCTAGTTCTGTGAAAAATGTCAGTGGAATTTTGATAGGGATTGCATTGAATCTGGAGATTGCTTTGAGAAGTGCAGACATTTTAACAATATTAATTCTTCCGACCCATGAACATGGAATATCTTTCCATTTATTTGTGTTGTCTTCGATTTCTTTCATCAGTGTCATATAATTTTCAGAGTACTTGTCTCTCACTTCTCTGTTTAAATTTATTCCTAGGTATTTTATTCTTTTTGATGCAATTTGCAAATGGGATTTCTTTCTTAATTTCTCTTTATGATAGCTCATTATTAATGTATAGAAATGCAACTGATTTTTTGTATATTGATTTTGTATTCTTCAACTTTACTGAATTTATTAACTCTAACAGTTTTTTCATGGAGTCTTTTGGGTTCTCTATCATATGATGTGTCTGCAAATAATGACAACTTCTTTCCCAATTTCGATGTATTTTGTTTCTTTTTATTGCCTAATTGCTCTGGCTAGGACTTCTGATACTATGTTGAATAAAAGTGGTGAGAGTGGGCATCCTTGTTAGGCTCCTGACCCTGAAAGCTCTTCACCATTGAGTATGTCAGCCCTGGGCTTGTCCTTTAAGACCTTTATTACATTATAGAGAATGTGTAGGAACATATAGGTACATTCCCTTTATATCCACTTTGTAAAGTGTTTTTTTCTTTTTTATCATAAATGGATGTTGAATTTTGTCAAACGCTTTTTCTGCATCTATTTTATCCTTTGTTAATGTGGTGTAGCATTGATTTGTGGATGTTGAACCATCTTTGCATTCCTAGAATAAATCCCACTTGATCAGGGTATGTGATCCTAGTAGTGCATTACTGAAATTGGTTTGCTAATATTTTGTTAAGGATTTTTGCATCTATGTTGACCTGGGATAGTGGTCTGTAATTTTCTTGTGGTGTCTTTGTCTGGTTTTGGTATCAAGGTCATGCTGGCCTCATATTTGCTCATGTTTTATCAATTTGGTTAGTTTCTAGGAGAGGTACAGTAAAATCTTCAAGTGCAATTGTTGACTTCTCAGTTTCTTTTCCTCTCTGGCCTGTTAGTATTCAAGGCTGATGGACAGGGGAAGGCTGTTTTGAATAAGACCCTAATATTTCCAGTGTCATCCTTTCTCTTGAGGGGCTAGTTTTTCATTATATTAAACTCATGTTCTGAATGGCCCGTCAGTTCTTCCTTTGGTGTTGGTCAGTGTTTTGTCGTCTTTTTGGTGGACCAGATCTTCTGCGGTCTGTTTTTCTCCTGTGGGCTTATTCCTGGGGACTCTAAGCTTGATTGCTGGTAACACATAACTGGGGGATGTGGTGAAAGCCCAGAAGTCAGCTTGGTGGTTCCTAATCTCCACTATACACTGGCATCACCCTGGGAGACTAAAGAAGACTGGCTCATGGATCCTCCTCCAGAGACTCTGATTTCATGGACTCAGGTGTGGTCTGGGCCCAGGAAGTTTTAAAAACTTTCTAGGTGGTTCTATCATGCAGTTAAGGTTATGAGCCCTCATGCCCCTTCCAGAGAAGGACAAGGAGGACAGGGGGGTTGGATGTGCCTTGCGTGTTCAGCCGTGCCAACGTCTACCTACATGCTCTCCCCCTTCAGGAGATCCAGACCCTCATGGAAATGGCCAAGACCTCTTCTCAGCACCATTTTTCTTAAGACTCATGTCTTTGGTTGCCTCTACCTGGCCCAAGGTATGGGGAGAGGGGAGGAAGGGAGCTCAGGGGTCAGCTGAGCTGCTGTTTTGGTGGTGAAAGGATGAAATGAACCCACCCAGGGAAGTGTGTGTGTGTGTGTGTGTGTGTGTGTGTGATGAATGAGTATAGCCAGCAGGTTGCTCCCCCCACGCCATCTCTCATCTGTGGCATTGGCTATCTTTCCCTCCAGTCTGCTATTTCCCAAAGCCAAGCCCCTCTTAGCTTTAGTGTTAGCTCCTATGATCCATTGATCATCTTCTTTCTTTTTCTGGCAGCCCTATAAATTGGGCATGAGCGGGAGAACCAGCAGCCTACGGCTTTTCATCTTCCTGCCACACATTCATCATGGATCTTCTTGGGTGCTGTGGCTTCAGAGGTTGCCCAGGTGAGGGTCAGGGTCCAGTTCTCACTCTGGTCTCTGGCCTCTTTGAGGCCAGTGTCAGGACTTGTCCAGAGAGGGCTGCTGCTGGTCATCACAGACCCTGGGGGGGGGGGGGGTGTCACAAGCCTTGAAACAAGTGCCACTGGGGCCCCTTGTTGGCTTGGGGGAGGGAACGTTAGCTTTGCCTCCAAGGGATCAGATGGACATCACACAGGTGGTGTATAAGCAGACTCTTAGAGAATGAGCAGGGCTTAACCCAGCAGAAAAATGAGGGAGAAACATTCTAGGTAGAGGGAATAGCATATGCAAAGGCAAGGAAGTACAGAGTTTGAAGTATGCAGAATCACAAAGAATCCATCAGGGAGATTTGGAAGAGGTGAGGCTGGGACAGGAGGGAGGGTCAGACTGAGAACAGTGGTGTTAGGAAACCTGAGGGACCCTGATCTCGTTCTTAGGGTGAGGGGTGAAGCACTGTAAGTGGAGGAGCACCGTTAGGTGGCTGTGAGGAGGGTGGATGGGAGGAGAAGACCCTTGAGGTGGTTGCAATGGTCAAGGGGCTGCTGCTGTAATCCAGGGGAAAAGTGTCAAGGGGCAGAATTGCAAAAGGAGCAGCAAGAAAAGGAGTGGCTGAGTTTGAGCGCAAATATAGATGGGAGAACTGTCCAGCTGGAAATGGTGTGATCACAGACGGCTCCAGGTGGTGGCAGGGGCAACCCTGTAGGATATGGTGGGCTTGTTTCAGGACAGGGAGTCAGGAGAAGGGGAGCAATCTGGGCTTGGGGGTGTACTGAGGTCAAAGTGTGACATCTGGGTGGCACCTCCCTCCCCCAGGGTAGTTCCTCCACTCCTCCCAGGTGGCTGGTGGAGCTCAGGGAGATTGGCCTGTGACCAAGCTAGGTACAGTTAAAGCAGTGGGGAGGATGCAGAAAGGGAGGGAAAGGTCAGGGTAAGGGCTCAGGGAGCCCAATCTTAGGGATGAGCCAAGGTGGCTAGGAAAAAATAGGCAGAAGCAAGGGGAGAAGTGGGAGAGACATGGTGGAGGGGATGTGGGGGGTAGGGTGGGACAGGCTAGCCTCTCAGCTCCACAAAGGTATGTTGGTGGTGTTGGGTCACAACTGAATTCCTAAGCTGGGTTCAGGCCCTTTGTGTGGAAGGTGCTCTGATAGCAAGGTTGGAAGGGACAGATGGACGGAGAGATGGAAGGGAGGATGAATGATGCTCCATTCCGCTCACTGTCTTCTCCCCACAGCACAGCTGCTGATGGAGTGCTTCTCTGTCTCCCCAGGAAGGGCTGTCACCCTCTCCCTAACATCTCCCTTATTAACAGGGAGATGCCCGTCGAGGGTCTGAATGAATCTGGACCTGCTCCAGACACTCCCCCGCCCCCTAGGCCTGAGCGGCTGGCGCAGGAGTCACCCGGCCCAGGCTGGCCAATCAGTCTATCCTGGGACTCTCACCTCTGGATCTTTTGAATGGAGACCTGAACTTGAGTGGCTGTGAGTACACAGGAGTGCGGGTGCCATGTGTGCTGGTGTAGAGAGTGCACATGAGAGGGAGGACTGGAGTGTGAGAGGACTGGGAGCAGATGGCAGGTACAGCAGATGAGGCAGTGCAGGCGAGAACAGGAGAAACAGGTGTGTGGTCTGGCCACTAACCTCGCCCTGGCCTAAGCTGTTGTGAGTAGATTTTGGTTTCTTGCTGCCCAAAGGCCTGTGAGGTGCCTGCCCCTGCGGCCCTGGGGAATCCGTTTGTCTGCCTTCCCGAGTAGTACTGAGGCCTCCTGCAAACAGACTCTGTGTCCTGGATGTGTAAAGGCCACCATCTGTACTTCCCTGGTGACCCAGCACTAGGAGGGACTCTGTGCATGAGGTGGATGGCAACACAGAGCCCTGGCCCTGAGGAAAGACCCGGCACATCACTCGGTTTCTGCTTATGCTAAGTGCTCTGCAAACATCCTCATCCCATCTTCCCAGGGCAGGCCACTGGTAGTGTCCCCATTCTACAGGTGTCAGGTAACCAGCTGAAGGCCAGTGGTCAGGAAGTGGCAGAGCCAGAACCTGAATCGAGCTCTTCAAACTCCATGTTCTGTTCTTTGTGGGTTTCTCATGGAATTCTCTGGGCTGCTTTTCCTTCCTCCTGAGAGAAGCCAGAGATTGGGGGTCCTGGGCTGGAGACACAGATGCTTTGGGGATTCTCATGGTCCTAATGAGAGCTGAGCTAAAGGTGGCCCCCTTCGGAGTCTGGCGTAAACAGCGCTCTTAGCAGTGACAGCTCAGACTGTGCCGTCTAGCCCAAAAATGCGAAGGTCACCTCTAAAGGAGGCAAAGTGCTTTGATACTGAAACCTGACTGATGGGCCCTGCAAGGAGCCCTGGGCCGTGTCCTGCAGCCCTTTGGTCTCTTCCCCGGCATTCAGAGTGGTGTCTTGCAAGCAGGCGAACAGTCGGGACAGGACTGAACCCAGAGGGGCAGCATGTCCTCCCGAGCAGAGCAGCCCAGGGCTCTGAACCCTGCACAGACAGGCGCCCCCCCCCGCCGCACATGAAAGCGCACCCCTGCATTCCCCGCCGGAGCCCCGGAGCAGTGCACGTGGTTCCTGTGCTTTCGCGGCAACTGGGGTTTTCGCCTTCCAGGGCCATTCCAGAAGGTGGTTCCCAGAGTGCAGGGCTTTCCTTGCCTTTGTAAGCCAGGCCTCTATACCAACGGGGGCAGCTTTCCACGCAGAAGCCGGCGCTGTCTAGCTTTAGAGGCGGGGAGGCCTGGCGGTGGCGCTCTCTGCCCTGAGGCCCCGGAAGAGCTGGAGGGGAGGCTGGAGGCTGGAGTGTCCTCTGAGGGGGGCGACCCGCTCAGGCAGTGGCACGGCAGCCAGCCGGGAAAAGGTTAAAACAAACGTTTATTTAACAAATTATATTAAGACAGACAATCACACAGTGAAACTTCCCTTGGCCACATACAGGAGTCACCTCAAATAAATACGGTCAGGACGTGGTTCCTAGGGCGAGGACGCAGCAGCCTGACCGGGCCCGGGTGGTCACACGGCGGCTCACGTGCCGGTGGCTGGGGGAACAGAGCCCTGTCTCGTGGTGGTGGCAGGCACTACTGGGCTGCGTTCAGGACAGGCAAGAACGAGGGGCCTCCTAGTCCGCCCCGGCGTGGTGGGGGCGTGGCAGATGGGGGCCGAGCTCTGGGGCTGCCCCCCGTGCCCTCGGGCTCCCCAGCTGTCAGGGGGCCCGGGTCGGGGTGGGGCGGCTGGACTGTCACCCCCACTGAGCACCATGGCACTGCGCAGTGGCCGCACAATCGAGCATGCTAGAACCGCATGGCCCGGGACACTGGCGAGTCCGTGACCGGACTGGACACGATAAAGGTCAGGGTGAGGCGTGTGCTTACGACGGGCCAGCCGGCACGGGGCTCCGGGGCCGGACGAGACGCGCGTCCCAATCTTCTCTGCCGCTTGGCAGCTCTGTGCCCGTGGACGAGCCTCTGCCACTTCATTTGTAACGAGGAGCGTCTAATACCCACTTCTGGGTTATTTGCATTTTAAGGGGGAATAACGGGAGAAAATGTGCTTCGAGTGCTGGCCTAGTGCCTGGTTTGGGACGCAGCTGTCCTTCTTGTCACCTGCCCCTGCTGTCTTCCTGAATGACTCAGGGCAGGGGGATGCCCGTGTCAGGGGCTCTCTGCTGCCAGCCGTGCAGCAGGACACCCAGCAAGAGAGGGGGGCCAGGGCAGGCTGGGAGGGGGTCTTCAGCTGCTCCCCACCCCCCTTACCAGGCTTCCTAGCTCTCCAAGTGGAGGCCAGTTGTGGCCCGTATCACATCCTGGACTTGGGGTAGGAAAAAGCCTTGATGCAGAGTTGCGGTGAACCGCGTCAACGGCTTACCCCTGATTACCACTGTGCCGTTCCGGGGGCTTTGGAGACACACTGCATTTCCAGAGGGAAAGGACAACAGGGAAGCTGTGCTCTGGTTAGTCTTTTTTTTTTTTTGGGGGGGGGGGATGAAGGCCAGGCCGCCACCCCCCCCTTGTGGTCCCGGGGTTGAACAAAACACCTCTCCGAGGCACGAGCTAGGGGTCCGGGCTGTCCTGGGGTCTGCATGAGCCCCCACATACACCCCCTTGCCTATGGTCACAAGGAAGGAGGGCGAGGAGCAGCCTCCAATCTACCACAGACACCAGCCTTTCCCCACCACAGTCACTGCCTAATTGCGGATCAGGGGACAATCAGTCACCATCACACGATACGGTGGAGGTGGCCGCAGCCTGCCCTAGCCCCTGCTAGCCTGTCTTCTTCCTGGTGGCCCCGCCTTGCTCTGGGTCCTCCCCTAACTGTGGGACAGGACAGCCCCGGGGCGGGGGGGCTCGGGAGGGCATACAGCTCCTCCTCTGTGGACAGCCTCCCTTCCAGCTCCTCCTCTGTGGACAGCCTCCCTTCCTATCCCTGCCCCCTGCCGCCCCGCCCATGCACCCTGACTCGGGTCGCAAGTGCTCTCCCCAAAGATGTTTGGTTGTCAGTCAAGGGACAAGGGCCATCGGGCGCTACCTGCCAGATGATAATCTCTCAGTCAGGCCATGAGCAAAGTGCCCAAACCAAGTGAACAGAAGTAATCAGAGTTGCCCCTCTCTGTTGGGCTTCAGGTCACACAGGTCACTTGGTTTTGGACCAGCCACCCATCCAAAAAGCAGCAGGAGACAGGTTCTCTGGGCCCCACAGGGCTCCAATTCCCCAGAGATACAACTAGCTTGTGAGTGGTACAGGTGAGTGGGTACAGGTGAGACCCGTCCAACAGCTGTCTCCTCTCCTGGTGAAGCACCAGTCCCCAAGGTCCTCAGACGGACTGCTGGCTCCAGCCCATGACCCCCGGGCCCCAGGGATTCCACCAACTACCTGCCTTTTCCTACCCCTTTGCTGTGTGGAAGGCCTGGGAAGGCCAGCCCCCCACGCCCCCCGAAATGTCCTGTCTGGGCAAAGGTAGGGAGAGGTGACCGCTTCCCTAATGTGCAGAAATCAGGAGCTATCAAGTGAAGATTGTGGGGCAACCAAGGAGGAGAGTGGAGCTACTGGAGATGGCAGGGCTCGTGAGGGTACATGAGGTATTTTTGCCCGCCCCGCCGCTTAGCTGGCAGCCACCCTCCTCGTGGCGTTGGCCCGATCTGCCCCAGGCACCATGGGGAGGCAGGGTCCGTGCCTGGCTGTGGCTCTCTTGGGCTCCCTTTGTGGTGGGGGACCCTCGCTGCTCTCCATGCCTCCCCCCCCTCTACCCTCCAGACACAGTCAAGCCTCAAGTCCAAAGCTCCCACCATCTGGGGACCCCCAAGAGGGGAGTTGCCAACATTCTGTGGAATTAAGACCTCGAAAGCTAGACCAGGCAGGCCCCTGGGTGAGGGCCTGAGCCCCCAGGGAGGGCTGCAGCCCTGTTCTCGTGGCAAACACGCCTGGAGCTGAACCTGGCAGCCAGCATCGTGAGAAGTACCAGTACGTCCACTGGCTGGTCGTGGCACAAATGTCCATGCTGGCCTCAGTTTGGTGACCTGGCTCAGATGGACTTTTAAAACAACTGTGCTGTTAGCAGAACCCAGTGAGACACAGCCTGGCTCTGAGAAGCCGATGACTACATGCCCATGTCCCTCTGGGGCTGGGCACTGGCCAAGAGTCTTCACCTGTGGCCCGGAGAGGGCCCATCCCTGGGTCACGGCACCGGGCCGAGGCAGCTGGGGTGGCAGTTGGCACGTGGGCATGGCAGAGATGAGCCCTTTGGGAGGGATGGGGATGTGTGGTGGCTGAGCACAATGTCCCGGGCAGCACAACTCCCCTCCAAGCAAGCACCAGGTCCCTCTGCCTTCTTGCCCAGAAGGCAAGTCCTCTGTGTGGGCAGCCGGGCGGCTGCTCCCCGACCTCAGCATGTCCAGTGTGTGAATCAGGGGAGAAGTCTGAGGGATGGCCACCAGTGAGGCGGGGACCCCAGGCTCAGGGCTCCTGGGGGACCACAGGCTTCTTCCTCCCGTGTGTCCTCTGGGTCGCCGTGAAACGCTCAGGGCGCTTGCTGCTGTTGGTGTGGGGGACTTGCTTCACAGCAGCCCCTGTATGGGGCACTCAGTGAGTCCTGGAGGGTGCTGTGCAAAGCGGTCACCCACCTTGGGTCCTCCAGGAGGAACCGGATAGCTAGAGGCAGACCACAGTCAGGAGGGAAGGGAGCCCGTAGCATCACTGGGCAGCTCCAACAATTGTGCAGGGCGCTCAGGGGTGACTCCCGTGCTGGGTAGGGTTGTCTGTAGGAGGGCTGGTCATCACACAGACACGTTAGGAGCTGCTGGTCACTACAGCAAACACAGATTAGTCGAGATTATGAACAGTATCCCCGGGGAGGCCGGGGTGTCACGTCAGGCAAGCCGATGGCCGAAGAGGTAACAGCTCAGCTGCCCAGAGTCTCCCAGATGAACCCCACCGTGGGGCAGTAAGAAAGGGTGGGCAGGAGGGACCGGGCAAGGGAGGGGCGCTCAGTAGTCTGGGCAGCTGCGTCTTCTCCCCACGGGGACAGGGTGGTGGCTGGCCCCTCAGGACTGGGGGATCTGCTGACACCGAGTGGGGCTGGGTGGGAGCCGGGCCGCAGCGCTCTGCTCCGTGCGGAAGCTGTACTCATACTGTAGGAGGGAGGGGACAGAGAAGCGTGGTCAGTGCATGAGGACAGCAGAGAAAACCATCCCAAGGCCTCAGGCCCAGCCCGCAGTGGCCCCTGTGCCACCTCACTGAGCGTGCCCACGCAGACACGGTGCCCTCTGGGCACACACGTGCGGTGCAGGGTGTGTGTACAGGTGCGCCTCTGCTGCTGCAGGCGGCAGGCCAGTTTGTGATGATGGATGCTATGTACCGTCCTTGCCTGTTTTCCTTGAGGGGGACTGCAGTGCCCAAAGCCACCAGCTGACCATGGGCCAAGCTGCCTGCCAGGAGTGGGGTCATGTACATGGTGAAGGACAGCTCTGGACTTCCATCCCACACCTGACCTGAGGCCAGCCACAGCCACCAGGCCCAGGGGACCCTTTGACTCTGTATTTCCTGCCATACCCTGCGCATGCGTACACCTTCCTCTGAGTTCCCAGAGCCGCTCCCTGAAGTGGGTGTGACAGTCTTCCTTAACTGACAACGGCCCCAGGCTTCAGGAGGCAGCACTCCACAAGCCCACCTTACCTGGGCCAGGGAGGTACCTGGAGGGGCATGCCTGTCCCCTGTCTCACCTTCACTAAGACTGAAGCTTACCTGACCCTAGGTCACTGTGTACAGGTAGGTTTGGAGTCTGATGGAAATTCAGAGAGGTGGGTACCTCTGTTGGGGAAGGGGGAGTGCACCTGCCTCTCAGAAGGCCGGGTGCGATGGCACTGCCAGAGTGTGGGGTGGGGTGGGGGGAGCAGCCTGGTCCAGCGTATGCCAGAGTTGCCAGGTGGTCCTAGGGGTTTAGGAATGAGGAGCTTAGATGAGGTCAGGGATGGGTTAACATTAAAAAATATATATATCTCAGGACTTTTAGCAGTAGAATGGCCCTAATAGCCAAGGGAATTTTAAAAAAGAAAACCATAGCTGGGGGCCTCACAATGCCAGATTTCAGGTTGTACTACAAAGCTGTGGTCATCAAGACAGTGTGGTCCTGGCACAAAAACAGACACACAGATCAATGGAACAGAATAGAGAACCCAGAAGTGGACCCTCAACTTTATGGTCAACTAATATTCGATAAAGGAGGAAAGACTATCCACTGGAAGAAAGACAGTCTCTTCAATAAATGGTGCTGGGAAAATTGGACATCCACATGCAGAAGAATGAAACGAGACCACTCTCTTGCACCATACACAAAGATAAACTCAAAATGGGTGAAAGATCTAAATGTGAGACAAGATTCCATCAAAATCCTAGAGGAGAACACAGGCAACAGCCTTTTTGAACTCGGCCACAGTAACTTCTTGCAAGATACATCCACGAAGGCAGAAGAAACAAAAGCAAAAATGAACTATTGGGACTTCATCAAGATAAGGAGCTTTTGCACAGCAAAGGATACAGTCAACAAAACTCAAAGACAACCTACAGAATGGGAGAGGAGATTTGCAAATGACGTATCAGATAAAGGGCTAGTTTCCAAGATCTATAAAGAACTTATTAAACTCAACACCAAAGAAACAAACAATCCAATCCTGAAATGGGCAAAAGACATGAACAGAAACCTCACAGAGGAAGACATAGACATGGCCAACACGCACATGAGAAAATGCTCGGCATCACCTGGCATCAGGGAAATACAAATCAAAACCCCAATGAGATCCCACCTCACACCAGTGAGAATGGGGAAAATTAACAAGGCAGGAAACCACAAATGTTGGAGAGGATGCGGAGAAAAGGGAACCCTCTTGCACTGTTGGTGGGAATGTGAACTGGTGCAGCCACTCTGGAAAACTGTGTGGAGGTTCCTCAAAGAGTTAAAAATAGACCTGCCCTACGACCCAGCAATTGCACTCCTGGGGATTTACCCCAAAGATACAGATGCAGTGAAACGCCGGGACACCTGCACCCCGATGTTTCTAGCAGCCATGTCCACAATAGCCAAACTGTGGAAGGAGCCTCGGTGTCCATCGAAAGATGAATGGATAAAGAAGCTGTGGTCTATGTATACAGTGGAATATTCCTCAGCCATTAGAAACGACAAATACCCACCATTTGCTTCAGCGTGGATGGACCTGGAGGGTATTATGCTGAGTGAAATAAGTCAGTCGGAGGAGGACAAACATTATATAGTCTCATTCATTCGGGGAATATAAATAATAGTGAAAGGGAATAAAGGGGAAAGGAGGAAAACTAAGTGGGAAATATCAGAAAGGGACACAGAACATGGAAGACTCCTAACTCTGGGAAATGAACTAGGGGTGGTGGAAGGGGAGGTGGGCGGGGGGTGGAGGTGACTCGGTGGTGGGCACTTGATGGGATGAGTACTGGGTGTTATTCTGTATGTTGGCAAATTGAACACCAATAATAAATAAATTTATTATTTAAAACAAATCCTAAAAAAAGGGCTCCTCCATGTAAAGTAGAACCACGTGGAACTGCCCTGGTTAAACTTGGCCACCAGCTGAAGCTATTTCCTCAGGGATGTGGTGGTGGTGGAGGAGGCTGATAGGAAGCCAGGCCTGCCTGCTCCCCCCAACCCCGAAGTGAGCTGCCTGCAGCAGGAGAACAGCTAAGAGTGGAGGGCTTCAGGGGTCAGCCAGGAATGAGGGGCAGCAGCAGACCTTGGAGAGTTTTTTTCCCCTTGAGCAGAAATGGTGAAGAGGCAGCCAACAGACCACCACTGCCCAGCATGTGTCCTCAGTCCCCCCTGCCCGAGGGCCCCACAGCACTGATGCAGGACAGGCAGACACAGATCTGGGCCAGCCCCGTCCCATGGCTGTGTGAACAAAAGGAGCAAATAGCCTCAAGTGACCCCTGAGCCCAGAGCCAAAGGGCCCGGCAACGCAGATATGACTGTGGTCCCTACAGACACTGCCACCAGAAGGGGCAGGAGGGAAGGACTTGACTTTGGAGGGTGACCTCAGACAGGTCTTTGCCCTTCCCTGATCCTCTGTGAACTCCTCCTTGATCCTCCGTGAACTCCCCTCGGAAGTGGGGCTATGTTAAGAGATAACAAGTGTCAGCGAGGATGTGGGGAAAAGGGAACCCTTGTGCCCTGTTGGGAACGTAGCTGCCGTGGAATGTGGTATGGAGGATCCTCCAAAAATTAAAACTAGAACTCTCCTAGGACTCAGCAATTCCTCTTCTGGGTATTTATCTGAAGAAAACAAGAACGCTAACTCAAAAAGCTACCTGCCACCCCCATGTTCACTGCAGTGTGGTCTCCGACAGCCAAGACCTGGGAGTCCATTAGGTGTCTGATGACCGGTGAAGGGATAAGGAAGACGTGGCATAGAGATACAGTGCGGTCTTATTCAGCCTTTGAAAAATCAAAATCTCGCCATTTGCAACAGCATGGATGGATGGTGAAGGCATTTTGTGAAGTGAAATAAGTCAGAGAAAGACAAACACCCACGTGACCTCACTTATATGTGGAATCTAAAACCCCTGTAGTTAAAGAGAACAGACTGGGGGTTGCCAGGGGAGGGGATCTGGATGGGTGAAGGGGGTCGAAAGGTAAAAATTCCGGTTGTAAAGTCGTGGGGATGTAATGTACAGCAGGTGACCACAGTTAGCGCTACGTTGCATGTTTGGAAGTTGCTAAGAGTAAATCTTAAAGGTTAAAAATTTTGTAACCATGGTGACAGATGTTAACTAGACATCGTGATCATTTTGCGATACGGACAAATATGAATTCATTATGTTGTACACCTGAAACTAATGTTATATGTCAATTATACTTCAGTAAAACGTGGGGTCACAGTCTACTCCCAGGGCTGGCTGTGAGGGTGGGGTGAGCGACAGCACATGAAGGGCCTGCACATCGCCAGCACCAGGCGAGCACTCGCTGCACTTTTCTTGTCTACTTGGGAAAATCTATCAAAGCGGCTCCCAACCTGCTCACTTTCCCGCTCCCAGGGGCCATGGCTGGGCCCCAGCTCCGGGAGGCTGGTCCAGGGGAGCATCCCTAGAGGCGGCGGCCTTCAGGCAAAATCTGAGACAATACCGCCACCTGGTGGCTGCTCGGGTGCATCACGGCAGGAAAGGTTCCTCCGCTCCGTCAGCACTGGCCATGCTCACCCGCGCTGGACCCTGGGCAGCGCCCGAGGGCGGCAGGGCAGGGGCACGCCGCCACCATTAATCCAAATGAGCGACACAGGAGGCAAGGGTAGGCTGGGGGGTGGAACATGAGTGCATTTCTGCTGGTGGCTCAGGGGCAGCTGCCTGGCTGAGGCGATAGGGAACGAGGGGTAAAAGGTTGGGAACTGGAAGCATCTGGGGGAAGGCTAGCTGGAGTGATGGATGGAGAGAAGTTTCAGGAGGAGCACGCAGGGTCAGAGAGTGGAGGACCTGGAGATGTGAGCCAGGGAGGGCAGCATGCTGGAGTGGCACAGGCTGGGGCTGTGGTCGTCGGAACCACCTCGTGGCCTCAGCGGGGACCGGTCTAGGAGAACGGAGTGGGGTGGTGCGGCCGCCCCTCAGGGGTGGGGAGAGGAGGCACAAGGGAAAGAGATGTAGCAGGCGGACCCACCCCTAACGCACAGAGTCCCTGGAGGTCGTGGTAAGATGCAGATTTGGACTCAGAAGGTGGGATGGGGCTCAAGAGTTTGCATTTTCAAGTACCTCCTGGGCAAATTGCTGCTGCTGTTCAGAAGGCCAATTCAGACCATTCTGTGGCCCAACCGGTGGGATGTGGGTGGGAGTGGGCAGAGGGCTAGAGGCATGAGGGCTGGGGGCAGCTGTGCATTGGAGGAGGCTGGGGGGCTTTACCCTGGCTGCTCTCAGGCCAGGCCTGAGAGATCCTGCCTAGGGCAGCAGACAGAAGGCACCTCTCCAATGGAGCTGCAAGAAGTCCCGAGTGCACACACTGCCTCTTCCGGACACACAGCCTGAGCCCAGTCCTCCCTCTGCCTCCGCCCCCGCCCCAACCCCCCCCCCATGGCCAGGACTCTTGGCATGGGGCACAGATTGCAGCCCCCCCCCACCCTTGGGA